TGGAATTTTATAAAATTTTTGTAATTTTTGCCTAAGTAAATTTGTCAGTTTTTAATTGCAGATTGTGCTATTTAGAATTTTTCTATGAATTTTTGAGTGTCGATCAAATTTTAAATACAAATTCGGAATAGTAGAACTCCCTATTTATAAATTTATACTATAAATTAAGGTTAATATTTAAAATTTGAATAATCTTTGTTCATATTTACTTTTAAGTTTGTTCTTTATCCATCAATTGTCCAAAAGGTATACCCTGTAAAAGGTATACCAAAAGGTATAGCAATGTGTATCTCATGCAAAAGACTTTTGTGCTTTACTAATTACTGACCTATTTTTTTTTTCAGCTCTTACATTGTTGAAGCTAAACTGAAAAATGAGTATGGTTTTGTCCAAGTTTTCCAGTATTTAACTATCCAGTACAAAACAAAGCTGATTTTTTAACAAAGTGCATCTTTGTTTAGGATAATACGAGAAATCAAACTCAAATATTCAATAAAATTAAATCGGTCAAACTCATATGGTTTGTAAAATAGCAAATTTTTGAAATATCAAATTAAAGAAACAGAAATAGTAATCGATCTAAGACGTAACTTGTAAAGCAGCTTAAATTTCTGCTAACAATTTTTTTTTTATCGCCATAACAATCTGCTACAGCTATAGCTCCTTGTTTATTTTTAGGTTCATAAAATTATCTACTGAAATTATTCTCTTATTATCATATAAACTGGCTTTAAAGGCTCAATTTCCAATTCGACACTTTCTTATAGAGTTCTGTGTTCTGTGAAATTGTAGGCAGAAATTGAAATTGATAGAAAAACAAAGAAAGTTTTTCGAATACTTCATTTTTATAGGAAGTGTATACCTTATTCTACAACAACTGCAGGAAAATGTTTAAACTGCAGGAAAATATTTGAGCTGCAGGAAAAATATTGATACCTTTTAAATATTGATTTTCCAGATATGGAGTTGCTGTTTGTTTTAATTTTTTTAAGTAAGTTTGTGATCTCATGATACTTAATTTACGTCTATACTAACCCAAATTATTCGGCTTACTTTAAATTTCTTCTAAAATTCTATTTTCGACCATTCATAAAAAATCATTATGACCAATTAAATTCAAGATCGTCGGAATATGTACGAATTGAGCTTATTTAATAACAATTGAAATATTTATAGTTATTATTTCAATTAATTCTTTTAATTAATAAAAAGAACAATAATTCGATTAAATTATATACAAAATTATTTCTGAAGCAACGACAACACTTACATCTTCTTTGCATCACTCTTTGATTATTCAAATATAAATTATGTACACTTGTACGTATGTATATACAATCCTTTTTAATACACAGGTAACAATAATTTTATAATAAGAATTTTCAAATTTCATGTCTTCATTTTGTACCCTTTTTAAAAATTTAATTTATAATATTTTGTCGTTACCTTAATCAATGTTTTTGAACATTTTCTGATATCTGTCAATCAACATTAAATGATGCTGTCAGAGACGATGTTTCTCAGAAGAAAATTTTATTATGAGGGAAAAAATTGAATTGAAATTGAAGGATAATTCGATTATGAACGTATAACAAATTATATTAAATGTGAAAATGTCCTTTGCCAGAATTCAATTTATCTTTTTGCTATCGAAAATTTTTTACCGATCAATTATCCCATTAGATAATTAAATAATATTATAATTAATTTTAAATAAGTTTAAACATTAAATTAAAATGTTAACACTTTCCTATAAAGTAAAAAATGTATGTAGACGGTCGCATGCTTATTTTCCACAGATTATTTTAATAATTAAAATTTATTAAAGATTCTAAGATAATTTTGAGTTTTTATATTGCACGATGTGGCTATGTAAACTATGTAAAGTGGAAAACCATTCCATTTATTCACTTTTTTTATTAATGACCGTAACTGAAATTAAGGCAGCAAGTTATTGTTTAGAATACATTTTTTGCTTTGCAACTAAACTAAAAATTATTTAATTTATTTTGGACAATGAATAAAACATGAAATAAGAAAACAAAATAGGAAGAAGAGCCAATTTAAAAAAATGATTCGTAAAGTAGCAGTTTTCATTCTAACAATTCATTAAATTAGGAATTAACAATCGTATTGAGTAAGAAACTGAAAGAACAAAATTCCCTTTTATAGTAACATTTAATAACATAGGAATATAAATTGAATGCCTTAAACCTTTTAGCCACACAATGGATCTATTAGAAGAGTAATACATTAGAGCATGTTAGATGTTGTTTTGGCAAGAAGTCCCTTGTTTTTTTATGTTCTTGCATTTTTCTATAAAACTAATACTTTAGAAAAAATAAGTTCAGAATTTAGAAGAAAGAAGAAACTCACAATTTAAAATATTTCGGAACCTGAAATAACTGAAAAAAAATTTCAAATCGTTGAAATTTCCAATTCGAATAAATTTCCAGGCGGACAAACGAATTATTCTGTTTATTTTACAATTTTGTTAGAAATATGCTTAAAATTCGAAAGTATTTCAGTAGCTCTATAATATTTGAGTTACGAGTTAGATTAATATCTTAGCAAGAACAAAATAAATAATTGTTAATTAAATTAATTATAGTACAAAAGTGATTAATTATTGTAATCTAGGTAATGTTAAATGGTCATGAAATGTAAACAAGAGTGTACTAATGTGCTTATGTATTTTAACATTTAAAATTCCATAAATGTAGAAAGAAATGGCATTGATTCTAAATGGCATTGGTTCCATAAGCATATTGAACAAAATTTAATTTATAAATTAAATTAAAAAAATATTGATTATTTATACTATACCGTTTTCAAATTCGAAACTAGAAAATTTTTAAGAGGCGTTTTCCATTTTATAGTGGTACAAAATATTACACACATAATAAAAAAAAAAAAATTGTGATTGTTTTTCAAAAATTAAAGACATGTAAAAACTCATAAAAGAGAGTCTTTAAGAAATATGGAGAAAAAAAGATAAGTATCTGATGTCTTTAACAAAATATTTTTGGCAATAAGACTTAGAATTTAAACTACGGTTAAATCGCTTTTATAAGCCCAAGAAAATCTTTTGCCACGGTGTCATTAGTTCATATTGCTACAGAAGTAAACTCAAATTGAATAATGTGAAAATGTATTCGGAATCAGAAGAGAAACCTAAAGGAAATACAGTTCAGGAGTGATTTTTTTATTCTTCATGAATTTTCTCTGAAATTTATGAAGTTTTATATGAAATTTTGTATTATACAGTTTCTTAGTGCACAATATCCCAAAAGTATGCAATAATATTAATTTACCGCATATTTTTTGTTAAATTCCCGAAAAAAAATTAATATTTTTTGGAAACCAATTGCATTATTTATTTAGTAATCATTAAATATCGTAAAATATTACAATTTGCGTATTGATTTTTAATTTGAACCTATCATCTATTAAGCTTAAAATAATTTAAATAGCACATTTCATGCTATGGTACCGTGGTGTGCAATAAAAAATTTCGTTTAAAATAAACTGAAATATAAGGAGAATAAAAGATTTTATAGATTTTTAAAAATTTTTACTTGATATTTAAATTTCAATTAGTTTGCGAACTAAAATTTACCTAAGAAGAACCATTGATTCTTTTTTTTGGAAAATTTAAAAAAAATTCTGCAAATATTTTGTAACAATTAATTTTCATTATTAACACATAATTGTATAAGTATATATAACAATGGTATGATGACGTCGTATAACAGAAATAAAAAAATTAATAAATTACGCAAAAACTATTACGTAATAAAGTAAGTTTTCTAGAAAATTTCACATTCTAAAAATCAAATTTCAAACAAGATTTAAGAATTACTAAAAAGAGGATGTCTCCTGGTTTTTGAGTAAATCAATTATCATATTATAGTACAGAATTAAAGAAACCAAATAAAGAAAATAATTTAATTCAAATTTTTTTAAATAAATGAAAATTACACCCTAATCTATTGAAAAACTCATGATGATTCAAATAACTGCTATTTACTTTTAAAATTATAAATACAAGCTTATGTTCTCTCACATCTACTTGATTATTTTATTATAGTATATGTGAATATGTATTAATGTGCTTTTGGTATATGCAATACTACATCATACGTGATTTTAATATACCTGTACTCGAATTTTTTACACAGTACTTTTGAATAATTGTGCTCTCTTGAATGTAAAACATATAAATGATTCTTATATAAACATTACATACGGACAATTTATAAAATATGCCTACATAGATGCACACATACGTGTGAACTTTTAAAATTTGCTTTCAAATTCGAAATTTATAGAAATCAATTAATTTGTTTTCTTGTGTGCAATTTGTATACTAATACAAGTACAATTTGACTTAGAAATCCTTATAGATTATTTTTATTTTAAAATTATATTCAAATCTACATTAGGTACAATAATTGCAAATGTATGCAAACACACACATCCATACAAATATTTTGAACAGGTAAAAGAAAAAAATTATTTCATTTATTTTTTTTTCCTCTATTACAAAATTAAGCTAATGATACCGTTACTAACTCTCCGTTATTTTAGAAAAAAGCTCATCATTATATATAAAATGCTTTATTCTCATACAAACACACACTAATACTATAATAAAAAAAATTTTTTCTCATTGTATTTTTAAATAAAAATTTTTACTTTAAATAAACACGCACACATGAACAAGTACATTTAAATATAGAAATTAAATTAATTATTTATATAACAATTTCGAATACAAAAAAAATATATTTTCTCTATTTTATGCAATCACTAAAGCAGGATTTGTTATTATTTTTAGAAAATTTCTGTAATTGAATGTTAAAAATTTTATTTTAATTAATGTTCTTCTTTTTATTTTTTTTTTATTGTTAAGACAAATTTTCAAATAATTAATTTAAAATATTTTTTAATATTTATTTTTAATAATACTTTTATATAGATATTTTGTTAATATTTACCTGTGTCAGGGATAGTAACACTTTCAATACGTTTTGATAAAAATCCACGAATATTTGAAACCACACGTCTAGGTGAATTTGGGCCCGATAATAATGTTCCACTTAGTTTTGAAAACAGGGCTCCGGATTCACCAGTCGATGTACCACCAGTTGTATTTTGATTACCAGTACCAGCAGCACTGGCAGGTGCACCTTGATTACCCTCTGAAGACGCCACTGTCCTCTCTTTTTTTATTTTATATTGCAATCACTTTTTTTTATTTTTTTTTTAATATTAAAAAAATTTAATTATATTTTTTTATTTTTTTATTTAACAGTAATATTTAATTCTTTTTTTTTAATAAAATTTAAAATTTTTAATAAATTTTTCGAAAACACACTTTTTCTATTTAATGGTTACGAACTTTAACAATTGGAAAAAGCGTTGATTACAATTTTTTGATTTTTTTAAATTTAAAATTTTTTTTTTTTCACAATTAAATTTCTTTTTTTTTTTGATTTTTTGAAACTGGGGTACACACTTTTTTTTAGTGTTTAAGAAACTTTGTGTTTTCTTTACATTTTTTTGGTTTCAAATATTTTTTTAATTTTGTAAATTTTATGAAATAAAATTTTCAAATTGGAAAAGCGCTCAATGCTCTTGTAAAAATTAAGGAAAATTAAAAGCCGTGTGCAATAAAATTTAATTTTTTTTTTTATTTTTTTAGAATTTTTTTTTCCGATAGCCGAATTTAAATGGTATTTTTCTTTCTTTTAAAATTTTCATATATGTTTTGACCCACTTTTGAATTCCCCCTACTACTTATGGAAACTTCTTCCTTTTTTTTTCTGTTTCATAGATATATGTATATACATGTATATATTTATTATATCTTATATATTTCCCAGGTATTTTTTATTTACTGCAACTCGAATTAAACATTCAATCGAAATTTTAATTAATTTTTTTGACGTACTACGAACGATTATTTTTTATTTTAAAACCAGAAAAACTAAATTAAGAATAATTTGGAAAAAAATTACGAAAAAATTAAAGTATTTATATATATATGTATATGTATATACTTATATATTTTTACAGTATATATATACAAAATATATATATAAAATTTTGTAATAACACAAAAAAAAATTTTTTTTTTTTACTTTAAATTTTGAATTTTTTTTTATTTTTGTTTGGCGGACCGTTTTAAATCCGACCAGGCCGCAGCAAAAGGTAATATCTATCTGGCTAGAAGAAGCTTTTTTTGATTACCCTGGTGTGCTCTATGTGTATAAAAATTTTCTCAAATACAAGTAAACCATTAAAGGAAAAAAGAAACAAATAAAAAAGCGAAAAAAAAATGGAAAATAAAGGAATACAAAAAAAATATAATAAAAACTAAACGGAAGAATTATAAAATATTTTTCCTTTTGAGAAAAAAAGAACAAACAATGAAAACAAAACAAGTTCAAGCAATCAACTCATCCTTACGAATTTTTATAACAGAATATTGCACATATTCTGTATTGTGTATAACAGAAAGGAAATATTCTGCGTATGTATTAGTAATTGTGTGTATTTAAAAAAAAAGAGAAGATAAAAATATTATAATAAGCAAATATGTATACAGGTGAAATGGTTTTATAAATGTGTATATATATATATATAATGTACAGCATTTTCGGAAAATTGATTTTATTTTGTTTTTTCGTTTCTAATTCTGAAAATAATATAATAAAAGTGTTACAACACGGCATATCAATTGTATTATAAGAATAATAAAAAAAATATATACACACATAAACAGTCGTATATTACAAACTTTGAATATTTTATAAAGAAACAATACAAAATATAATTACTTATACAAATAAACATACCATAAAAGGCATAAAAAGGATATTAAAAATATTACAAAATGTCAGAAATGTACGAAAAGAAAAGAATGAAAAATGTTTTGCATTTTTATTTAACTACTTTCTATTGCTTTTAAGTACATCTACTTATAGATACTGAAAATTAACAGAAATAAATTGTTGGTGGGGGGGTTCTTCTTCTATACTTATAGTCAAATACACACATATATGAAGAATAAAATTTTCCAAAAATAAAAATATGTAAAAAGAATTTAAAAAAATTTACAAATATTTTCACACATTATGGTAAAATTTGCGCATGTTGTAATTTTAAATGTGTTGTTCATATATATAATCAATATAGTGTACATAAACATGTTTTATATAATATGTACGTGTATACATATTGTAACGTTATAGAATCACATACAAGCATTACAAGCATTTGGAATTATATAAAGAAATTTTCAATTTATTGTAAAAACAAAAATAAAATTTCAAAAATTTTGTTTTTAATATAATAAAAATTTTATAGAAAATTTTTTAATGTGTAGTATAATTTTGTTGTTGTTACGTCATCAAGTACACTGAAAAAAATAATAATAATAAAACTACATAAAAAATTTTTTGTAAAACTCAAATAAGAGAAATAAAAATTTTTATTTCTAATTTTACTCTTACATTTTATTCTTATCACATTTGTTTATACGTGTGTATACCATATGTATTCTATATACAAAAATATACAGGATTTTGGCAGATAATTTGTAAATTTAAAATTTAATATTCTTTAAATTTTTCATTTTATTCCGTTTTACAATATGTATCCAAGAGATATAAAAAACAAATTCAAACTAATTAAATAAAAAATTTATGAAAATGATAAAGAAATATAAAACATAAAAATTTATATATGGAATAGGTGCAGGGTGTTTAAATTTAAGAGAATGCATGAGTTATAGAAACAAAATTTGTTTAGACAAAATGTGGTATAATTTTCATGTACAGTTCAATAATCTTATGCAAAACAAATTTAATTTTCTGTGAACAGTCAGCTTTTACCGAACTTCCAGAGAAACGAGTTAAAAAAACAACACTGCCTAGATGCCGTTGTGTCCTAAATTTTTGCATCATAAAATATTCAAATTAAGCTAAGTAGAATTATAGCTTGAAATTAAGAGAATAGAAAATGTAAACTGTTCACAGGAGAACGATTTTTCAATTAATATGTTTAACGTTTACTATACAACTTTTACCACTATTTTTTGCTAACTACTATTTATTATATATTCGATTCAACTATACATACATACGTGTATAAAAATGGAAAATGAATTTGCTTTCGATTCCTTTGAACTAGTAAGCTTTTAAATTGAATTTCGGCTGAAATGTCATTAATGAAACATTAAAAATAATTAGAAATTAATGGGAAACTCCAGAGAATACAAATTGTAAAATCTCGTTTAGCAATTGACACGCTCGAAAAATTAAAATAATTGTTCTGGGAATTCATTCTCCTAAAAATATTAAAATCCAGCTGCAAAAAAGCACCAGTTAATTTTTTTGTGTTGAGTCCAAGTGAATCTACAATAAAGTTCTAAAAGGTCAATTATTTTAGGCTATGTACATCGTTCCTTGGCACGAAAGCATCAAAAATAATTAAAACATCAAGGGGGATTAAATTTTTTTCCTAGATTTTTCAAGGAATATTTTTATAAAAATACCTGGGAAATATATAATTGTGGAAATTTTTCACTAAAATTTATTGCTTATAAACGGAAAACTATATAAATTATACGTCGAAATTTCTTTTCAGCATTTTACTTTGAATATTTCATAAATTATTTTAAATTTGAATATTTTAGAATTTAATTACATTTTTTACATATTTGAATGATTCACGCTTAATTTAATTTACGTGCTCAAGAACAAATTACAATTTATACTTGTATATTCAAGCACAGAAAATACACAATTCAAAATGTTCTGAAAAATCTAGATTCTATACTAAAGTAAGAAATTAGTGTGCATACAAATAACTTTTTCGCTTTATAATGATTTTACAGTACTTCTCATAATTTATATTTTTAATATTTTAGTTTTTAGCACTTTTCCAAAAAATTTTTTAAATAAGTGCATATTAGTTCCACTCTGTCTGTCCGTCCGTCCGTCCGTCTTTCCGTGTGTCTGTTTGCAAAACTTCTACACCCTTTGCAGATAGAAATCTGAAATTTTATATGTACATATAGATTTTTACTAGAAACTAATTTTCGTAGAGCATAATTTTTACCAATCTCCCGTTCACCCGAAATATATGCAATCTTAGAAATAGTTTCGTATATAAATGAAAATAATTTTAATAGTGTGTTAGGTACATATAAATTATTTTTAAAAGCAATATTTTCACTTGTTGAAGAGAAGAGTGCTACAATACAAACCATTATTTTATTTAGTTTGACCCAACTTTATTCATAAAAATTTCGTTTATTGGATAATTTTAATTCTTTTAGAGAATTTTTATCGGAAAAAATTACATATCGCGTAAAAGCAACTAGAATTGTTAGCAAAATATTTTTATATTAAAATTCACTTTTACTTTACCGAGGGCAAAGCTCATTTTACATAAAATTTTAAAACACAATATGTGAGTCAATACATAGAATGTGAGTCAATTTTATGAGAATTAATTCCAATATTTGGTTAAAAATTTATGCCTTTTTAAATTTAACCCGCATTGCAATACAATAAAATTAACGTGTCTTCTATTAAAATTCATTTGTGCTATAGCCATACAAGTTATTGAAAGAAGAATTCTTAAAAAATTGCAAGTGCCTGCTAAATTAAACGTATACTAATTTTCAAAATAAACTCAATTTTTATTTGAGTTCTCAATTGTAAGCGCTAAAATGATTAGCTAATAGAAGTAAACAAGAAAATTTTTAAAATCTCTAGCATAAAATGTCATATTTAGCTTGCGATGTATATGGCGCAGTACAATACAGTCTTTATTTTCTTTACCAAGAAAAGTTGTTATAAACTTGGTTCATTAAATTGAATTAAAAAAATTATTTAATTTGTATGTAACGTCTAAAATTTTATAAGTCATTAAAATCAATATTTATTTGATAATTAAAGTTCGCCTATCGTTATGCAATTTTTTTTCTATTTATAATTAAAAATATTTTTATTGAATTTACTTGTTGATATAAGTGAGATGAATCTTTTTATAAAAAATTTAACTACAAAAAAATTTTTTTCTGTGAATTCACTATTATCCTTTCACTATTTCAACATTACAAATTCGAATTTAATTCAATAATTTAATAGTTTTCGTTATTAATCCTTTTGGAAAAGCATAGAGGATTAATGTATAAAACTAATTTTTCTTTTTTATTTTCATAACTTTATAATTTCCTCTTTCATTGCTTCAATAACTAGCTGCGAAAGCAAAATAAAGATTTTTGTTTCTCAGAACACAAACATCACGCAAACTTGAAAATTATATTTAGAAATTTTTCTTAACATTTTAATTGATTTTATTGAAATAAATAATTTGAATAATTATTTTAAATTATCCTTTCTATAGTTAAGATGAAAAGTTTTGTTAAGAGTTTTAATTTTTAAACTGAATTTTATAAAATTCAGAAACATTTTTTTCTTCTTAATTTTTCTATTTAAAAAATTCCAATTTGTATTCATTCTTATTTTAGTTTAAGTAAACTGGCTAGATCAATTTTAAATTGAAATCATATAAAAAGACTTAAGGAAATAATTTGAAATTTTCAAAAATAAAATTGTGTTTGTAAAGCATTTAAGAATCTTATTTTTGAATCTTTCTGTATTTGCTCTTTTATTCATATATTTTTTCACATACTATGTATATGTATATAGCTATACATGTGTAGGTGTCTGTATTTACGATTATTATATTGTGTATTAAAATATATAATTTATTTATATGAAATAAAAATAGTACATTGTTATAGATAAAAAAGTAGTAAGGAAGTATTTAAATACAAATCGGATAATGGTGAACTCACACACACACACATATGTACAAAAATATTTGAAAATTATAAAAAATGGATAATATGAAAAATAATATTTTAACATTGTGAAAGTTATTTTCACTGTCACTCATCTGACAGGGGGACCAAAATATAAAATTGTTGTGAAGTTAAGTATGTAAGTCATCATTTTAATTTAGCTATTTTATAATTTAAGTACATATATGATTTCTTCTAAAATGGCTGTTCAAAATTGTTAAATGAACTCTCCTTGTAGTTTAATTTTGAATTGAATCAGGCAATTTTCATTTTCTTGAATCATCAAGAACATTATGGACCTCACTTTTAACTGATATCATATTTCTTGAAAATTGCACAATAACAGTATTAAAACATTAATGTATCAACAGACTTCTAATGTCATCG